TTGGCAATCCCCGCAGCCTTGAACGGCTCTCAAATGGAGCGTTTGGAGGCTGAAAATGAGACCCATTGTCTGTGGCAATCTCTGCAGCCAGGAAGAGGACGTGCTGAGGCCGAAGGGTGGGGGCTGGCTGGTGGGTGGGTCTACATTTGGAGTATAAGACGCACCCAACTTATCAGCCTCTTTTAGGGGGGTGACCTTGAGATATTGGATCTGTCTCAGACTTCCAGTTGACACACTTGCATTCCAAATTTCCTTCATAAGCCTCCTTTAGATTCCAAGGCCTTCCCTTCCCCTTCCTGTCATAGTTGTCTGGTTGCAAGCAAGGCCAGATCCTGAAGATGAAACTCAAATACTTTGATCACCTAATGAGAAGGAAGGACTCACTGGAGAAGAGCCTAAGACACGACTTCACAAGGAAAAAGCAAGACTGCGTAGCGAGTCAACCATGACAGCAGTATTGCAGACTAACTCACTGCTCATTCAGCAGGAGTTCAATCCTGACTGGCTCAAGGATGACTCAGCCTTGCATCCTTCTGAAGTAGGTAAAAGGATTATTGGGAGCAAGATGGTGACTCTGTAAACCATGTTTCAGAAAAAAAAATCTCTGCCTCTGAAAGCCTCCAAAACAGTTTCAGAAAAAAAAGCCTCTGAAGCTCTGTTTGGGGGCTTCTTTTCTAAAGCTGTTTGTGGGCTTCTTTCCTGAAGCTTCATTTCTGATGCTTTTTTCAGCCTCTGAAACCTCTGTTTGAGAAGCTGGGCGGGGCTACATTCGGAGTATAAGAAGAACCCAGATTTTCACCCTCTTTTTTGGTGTAAAAAGGTGTGCCTTATACTCCAAAAAATACAGTACATAAATAAATAAAATAGAGGAGATCCTGACTATTGGCTTTCAGTAAGTGAGTTTTGGGGAATTAAATGATTCCCAAGATTAAACCTGTTACCAAAAATAGAAACAAGACAAAGGGAAACTACAATGATCCCCAAATTTTCTTGATAGCAGAGATTCAATCTTAGCTATGCTGTCATCTCAGTTGATGTTTGAAGGGGGATCCACAGGAAATTTGGTGTATTTTTAAGTATTTGAAAAGAGCAAAATAGCGTTTACCATAAAGCAGATGTCAGGATTCCAACCGATGCCCTAATTAAATGATGAGCCTCGAGCCAAGCTTCAAAAGAAATCCAATTATTTATTAGGAGTTTCATGTCAGCACGTTCCAAGTGAAGCCAACTCTGACCCCACGTAATTTACGTTCCAGCTCTGACCCTGTTTTCCCCCTCCCCCCAAGTTGTGTCATCAGTCACATTCTCCATCGAAGCAATTTTGTGGGTTGTAGTGATCACTCCTTTCTGGCCACTGTAGATAAACATGGAGACAGCCTTAACAGAGATATGGCTGGAATGTGCTTTTGTTTTGACTGACATGCTTCCTCACCGCAGAGCAAGCCAGAGATGCTCTTTGAGTTGACAGCAGATTCTTCTTCCATCAGATTCACTGTTGGAGTGAAACTTTTGATGGAGTGGATGAAAGTGGACAAAGATACCTACAGGAAAGAAGGGAAGGAGAGGAAAGAGGAGAGGAGGGGAAGGAATGGAAGGGAAGGAAAGGAAAAGAAAGGAAAGGAAAGGAAAGGAAAGGAAAGGAAAGGAAAGGAAAGGAAAGGAAAGGAAAGGAAAGGAAAGGAAAGGAAAGGAAAGGAAAGGAAAGGAAAGGAAAGGAAAGGAAAGGAAACGAAAGGATGAGGTTTTCTTGGAATCTCCTTTCCTGGATGGAACCATTTCTAGGGACAATCAAAATTAATGATTTGCAGGAGATATTTATGGAAGCAAAGTATTTAAGACTCAGGGTGAAATGCCACTCATTAGATTTTCATTTTGGCAGAAGGATACAGATAGACTTTTCTACCTGTTAGATCAGTATGAAAGAACCAGAGATGTCTCATATTGAGCATCTCTGTTTGAGGTTATATAGCATGGGAGAAATTTCTTATAAACTCTTTGACTCTTTTCTTTGACTCTTCCAGGTAGAAAAGGGACATGTTACATGAATGGTTGGATGGGTGGGTGGGTGGAGAGACATCTGGACATCTATTTGATTTGTATGCATTCAATTCCAGACAGATGCACAGCAGCTCACAATAAAAAAATAAAGTATCCACCCTAAAACATAATGTTCTGAATAATAAGGAATGCACAGTAAGTCTAAGGCCACATGAGCATCATAATATTCAAAAGTCCACAGTAAGAAAACAGTATCTTCATCACGTCAAAAGCACAACTTTATAAAATAAACCAGTCACATATAATAGCATAAAAGAAAAACAACTGGAAATCAACCCAGCAGAATGATAGGTGTCCCAAATGCCCACAGAACAATTTGGTTGTGGATGCTTTCTGGGAATCCACTACATTGAGTTACATTGGGACTTTTTCAGTTGGATCCCAGTTCACCCTGCAGGGAGGACTTTGCAAAACTCCTACTTCCCCAGCTAATTATTAGGATGATAGTGATTTCTTTCTTGCCTTCTTGCTAAATGTCAAGGGATTCTTTTTCCCTCTGGAAATTGTCTGAAGGAGTTCAACAGACTCAGCAGCAACACATTCAGCATCAGGAAAGTGAGTGTATCAGTTGTCTTGTCACCCTGGAAAGCTGGACTGAGCTTCATGGACACCAGGAGCTCTGCTTCTGCATTGGTCCAGTTTCCATCATTGGGGAAGTTCTCTCTGGACTTCATATTATATTAGAAAAGTCAGTCTTGCAGCAATCTGCTTTCAACGTCTCCAAATGCTTCTGCTCTCCTGATTATGAGATCAGATGCAAGGCAGGGGATTCCTTCGGCTAACCCAGAAATGAACCCATTGCTTCTGCTTCTGATGGAGCTTTTGTTGCCCCAGGCAGCCTGTGGGATGCTTGGCACCAAGTGCTTCTTAACTTTGGAAAGGGATGCTAGAGACCCACTCAGTCATTACAGGCCAGGAGATCATCTCATCAGTGGACTCATATTTGGAACAAATAATCTACAACCTGAGCTGCAGAATTTCAGTTTGAGTCCTTCTAAAAAGGTTTATCGGTAAGTCTCATGATGTTGATTGATGTTATGTTACGTTTCCTTTGAGGAAAAATGGGGAAAGAGGAAGGCAGTGAGGTTTTATTTTATTTTATTTTTTTATTTTATTTAGTTTGTCAAACATGTACGAGAAAAGTGGTATCAGTATAGACATTAACACAGGAGATGAGTACAAATAAATGGGATGGTAGGACAGGGATGGTAGGCACGCTGGTGTGCTTATGCATGCCCCCATACAGACCTCTTAGGAATGGAGTGAGGTCCATGGTAGACAGTTTAAGGTTAAAGGTTTGAGGGTTTGTGGAAGTAACCACAGAGTCAGGTAGTGCATTCCAGGCATTGACCACTCTGTTGCTGAAGTCGTATTTTCTGCAATCGAGTTTGGAGCAGTTTATCTTAAGTTTGTATCTATTGCTTGCATGTGTATTATTGTGGTTGAAGCTGAAGTAGTCATTGACAGGAAGGACTTTGTAGCAGACAATTTTGTTTACTATGCTTAGGTCTTAATGCCTTTTGGCAATGCTGTTACAGTGAGCTCTAGGGCACAGATCATTTGACAGAGTGAGATTAGTTAGTTACTGAGATCAACAGTCACATCTGTATACAAACAGCATGAAGTGGAATACATTCAGCAGATGAAACAAAAGTAAGCTTTAATGCTCAGCACCCTTGTCCAACTGATCTCTAAATGGACAACTTGCTTTCATCTTTCAAGCTGATTAGCTTGGGAGGTCATGGTTATGGTCTCAGCATGGCCAACAAAGAAAAGGACAGGAGACTCTAATTGGTCAATCCCAATTCAGAGAAAAAACTGATTTCTTTTCTGAGTCTTTCCTAGAAGATAGCTCTCTATCAGAGTCTCCTTTGGAAAAGATCGGCGGCACATAAATCTAATATTATTATTAGCATCTGGTGTTGCTACAGTAGCCAGGAAACTACAATGCTATTGCAGAGTAGTAGTTTGGCATGCCTCATAAATCGAATAAATTGAATGAATAAATTTTCCAGAAAGATAGAACCCACAATTCCAAAGCCATCAGCAGTCAGCTCCTGGGTGCCTCCAGTCTTTCTCCCAAATTCTCTGTATTGTTTTCTTCAATGATCCATGGATTTCTCCAAACTCGCCACAGCTAGTTGTTGATTCCCTGATGTGGACATGGGCATCTTCAGATGCTCCTTCTTGACTCACCTCTGGTTCCACTGATACCAAAGTGCTTTGAGCAGGCCATCTGTTTTCTCTATCCACTCTCTCAAGCAAAGAGGGATCGAGACCATTTACTCAAGAGAAAATGGGAAAGCTGGTACTTCTGTTCAATTCTTAAATGCTTTCTTTTCTGCCCCAACTTCATTCACACATTCAGGCTCATACACACCCATACATGCACACTTTAAAAATATAATACATGCATAATGGCCCTTTGATGGAATCTCAAATCCTGGTTCCTACATGGTGAGGTCCATGCAGATTTCTGAGCTACATTTTCAGACATGGTTTGCCAAAATCTTTTCCTGGGATGTTTTTTGACTTCTCAAACTGAGGTTGAGCGAATAGTGCAAGTGACAACAGTGCCCAGATTGTCTGGAGTGTGTCTGTTTTGACTTTCAAATAATCTAAGTAGAGAAGAGGAACTTTGGGGACAAAAGCCTGTGACAAAAGCACATATGAAATGCATTAACAGAATAACAGAGTTGGATGGGAAGACCTTGGAGGACTTCTAGTCTAATCCCCTGCACAAGCAGGAGACCCTAAACCATTCCGGTCCAATCTCTTCTTAAAAACCTCCAGTGATGGAGCATCACAACTTCGGGAAGGAAGCCCTTCTACCAGTTAATTGCTTTCACTGTCAGGAAATTTCTCCTTACTTCTAGGTTGGTGATTTCACTGAATGTAACATCATTGCAAAATCCATGTATCTTTTCAGAAAAACAGGTGTGATGTACTGGAAAATTCTGTCCTTCCTTTTTGCCATTCAGGAAATCAACAAAGATCCTCTTCTCTTGCCCAACCTCACCCTGGGTTATTACCTCCATGACAACTTTCGAGACAAAATGTTGACATTGGATGGTCTGTTGGATTTGCTTTCGACTGGAGAGGCCAATGTTCCCAACTACAGCTGCGGAAGGAAGAGAAACATGCTGGTTCTACTGGAAGAGACCAACTCTGATATATCCATCCTTATGGCTGCCATATTGGGCATCTACAAAATCCCACAGGTACAGAGCCAGTGAATGGCTGCAAGTTTATTTCTGAGCAGTTCAAGGAGATTTTCTCCTTAGAAATGTTAATTAAACATGGATTAAGATACAAGAGACAAGAACAAATATTGATACAACCATAATTAACAGTTATAAATTGAGTACAAATATTAATTTGTAATATTTCACGTTGCTCAGATATTGCACTGTGCAGGCTCTGAGGAAGCATCATCGTTTTAGAAAATGAGATCTGGATTTCTTCTTAACATCCATTGTTACATTTTCTGCATTTCTGATCCCCTATTAAATCCACCAAGGTAGGCTGGAATCTTCCAGCCACTACCTAAGCTCTGACATTATCTTTACAGGATCTAATAGGCCTTCTTCTTCTGCCATATCCATCATCGGACATTGGTGATCATGTTGGCAAATCCTATTTTTGTCAACTACCACATGAAAAAGTGCTGCTGAGTTTTGTCCACACCAGTCCATTAGGTTTTGAAGCCACAATGTTCTTCGTCTGCCTGGACCTTGTTTGCCTTCAAACTTTCCCTGGAGGATTAAGTGAAGGATGCCGTATTTTTCTGGGTGTCGCATCACATGTCCAAAATATTTTAACATTTGCTTTTTAATGGCTTTGATGATTTCCCTTGGCTTTCCCAGACAGCTTATCACCTCCTCATTTGTGATTTTTGTTAATCCAGTTTATACGTAACAGCCGTCTGTAAATCCACATTTCAAATGCTTCTCATTTCTTCAACTATCAGAGACCAACTCTCTACTCCATAGAGCAGGATAGTAAAAGCCCCAAATAAAACATAAATCTCCCTTTTTTTCACTCCAGATCAGCTACACTTATATTTCACCAATCCTGAGTGATAAAACTCAGTTACCTTTTTTCTACCGGACCATCCCCAAAGAAGGTGCTCAAAACCTGGGAATTGTTAAACTGCTGCTGTATTTTCGATGGACATTCATTGGCGTCTTTGCTGCAGACACTGATAACGGAGAACATTTCCTTAGGACCTTCGTTCCTGTGCTAGCTCAGAATGGCATCTGTGTTGTTTTTTCACAAATCGTATTATTAAATGATGAGAACTTCAAGTATCTGATTTCTGTTTTCAACCTGTGGGACCAAATCAATGTATTGATTTATTACTCAGAGTTTACATTCATCGAGGGAGCCTTTATCCTAGAAAACATATTAAATTCCTTGCGAAATCCTATTGAAGGGATAGTTTGGATCACAACCGCTTTGTGGGATCTCACCATTGAATTATCAGATAATACTTTCTCTTTCAGATACACCCATATTATTTTTTCTTTTCTTATCCAGACCAGCCAAAGGACCAAATTTGACGATTTCATAGATTTCTATCTTTTTCTCAAAGCATTTATGACTAAGAAATTTCACTGTTCATATGGGAAGCCTGCCTTGTCTGTGAAAGGCTGGACAAGGTGTACAGAGAAAGAGAACTTGGAGACTCTACCTCAGCAGGAGATTGAAAAGATCTTTTCTCTAGATAGCTCCTTAACTTACAATGCCATCCAGATTGTGGCACATGCCTTAAATGTGGTCAATTCACCCCGATCCCAGTGGACAAGGATGGAGAGAAAAGACAAGGTGGAAGTTGAAAACATTCAACCATGGCAGGTATCTCCTTATCAGTTCCATGTAGGTTGCTAAGGGCAACATCTAATGGTGATGTGGAATTGGGATCGTAGAAACACCCAGGAGCATAGAAGAGTCCAAAGGCAGATGCATGAATAAATGTGATAAATGTATTTATTCATATAACAAAACATATTAACTATATACAAAGGCTGTCTTAATATCCATTAGGATGGGGGGCACACAGCGTGTGTGACCACCCCTATCAAAGATCATGTCTCATGGAGAACAAACGTAAAAGAGAGCATGGTGGAGAGGTTAGAGGGGGTTTTATACTCAGTGTAAGCCCCTCCTCTCCACAAAGGGGTGGGGGCACTTTCTGCCTCCACTAGTGTCTGTATGATATATGTGCCAATGGCTTGCAAATACTTGACAGTTCCCCTCCTTGCGAGCCAATGGCATGCAAACATACAAATGCAATGCACAACAAATTTTACCCTGTGAGACATAACTTTTTACACAGATCTTTGTGCCTATCTGCTGGTAGAGGTTTTGTGAAAATATCAGCTGTTTGATATTTGGTCTGACAATGTGATAAAGATATAAACCCCATCTCTACTAGTTGCCTAACATTTTGATAGCGGATATCAATATGTCTGGACCTTTTTCCCACCGCATAGGCTTTGGCAATGCCTATGGCCCCGGTGTTGTCTTCTATAATTTGGATGGGCAAAGTCGGTGGTGTCCAGATGCTAGAAATTAAGGGATCAAACCATATCAGGTCGTTCCCTGCCTCTGATAAGCATGCATATTCGGCCTCAGCGGTGGAGCACGAAACAAATTTCTGTTGCCCCACATGCCAATGGATGGGTGCCTCATTTAATAGTACCAAGAAGCCCAAAGTACTCCTACGTGTCTTGGTATCTCCGGCCCAGTCCGCATCCGCGAAGCATTTTAATTGGGCCTTGTCTCTATTCTCAGGTTCCAAGCGAAGCACGTAATCTGCTGTGGTCTTGAGATACCTTAATAGCTTTTTAATGGCCAACCAGTGGAACTGGGTAGGATGTTCCACTTGTCTAGATAGCAGGTTTACGGCCAGGGCAATATCTGGACGGCTCCAGTTACTTATATATAGTAATGAGCCGATCACTGACCTAAATAGAGTATTATTTTGGAACTCTGGGCTATCCTTGTGTGCCAATCCATAATAGTCGGTCTGCATTGGGATAGCCGTTGGCTTGCTATCTTCCATTTTACATTTCACCAAGAGTTCCTCTATCTTTTCCTTTTGGGAGAGAGCAAAACCTTTTGGTGTAGTGATGATTTGTACGCCTAGGTACTTGTCCACATATCCTAAAGACTTTAGAGTGAACTTTTTTTGTAGGGTCCTGGCAAATATAATACTTCCCCCCTTGTCAGGCCCTATATATAAAAGATCATCGACATACACTAGGACTTTCTCCAGACCCCCTTTGGTATCCCTTGTGAAGGTACATTTATCAGCTGGAGATGGATGGAAACCCAGTGATTTGAGAGTTTTAGTCAGGCATTTGTACCACAGTCTGCCTGATTGTTTGAGGCCGTACAAACTTTTCTTCAGAAGCCAGGTGTGGCCTTCCTGCCGTTGAAATCCAGGGGCACCTCTGACGTAAATTTCTTGTTTTAGATGTGCATGTAAATAAGCAGTTTGCACATCAAATTGAAAAATGTGTTCCCCATGTGCTGCTGCGGTGACTAAAGCAGCCCTCACACTTTCCGCTCTCACGGTGGGGGAGTATGTTTCATCAAAGTCCTGCAAGTAGCGCTGTGCGTAGCCTTGTGCTACCAGCCGGGCCTTATAGAGGAGTTTGTTGTTGGGCATTGGCTTGACCTTGTAGACCCAACGGGTGCCAATTGCTTTCCTCTTTTTGGGGACTTCCATGGGGATGAAGACTTTCAATTTTTTGAGACTGTCCATTTCCCGCTCCATTGCCACCCTCCACCTGCGCTGTTCTTCCTCGGGAAGCTGGAGGACATCTGAGTACGTTTTAGGGGCCATGGTAACACTGTTGACCGAGGCAACACAGCCAATGTCCAACCTTTTGGGTGGCACCCCTTTATTGGAGCGTTTTGACCGTCTGGGAAATTGCCACTCACCATCATCATTGTCATCCGGAGCATCGGTGTCAGAATTGGAGCTGCCGGAAGTATCTTTCCAATCAAAATGGGGCGGGCCTCTGTCCCAGGCGCTTCGAAGATATGGTCGTTTAGGTGAGGCAGGAGGTGTGAAGTCACCCAGGGATTCCTTGTCTGAATCGTCAGAGTCAGGTAGGGATTCATCACCATCCGGATCTTCGCTGGTCAGTTGTTTGGAGTTTGTTGGTTCATCCTCTTCAGGTGGTGCTGCTTGTTCAGTGTCGCTTCTAATAGGGGAATAACCGGGTTCATTGGAATGAATTTTTGACCAATTTGACCCCTCCTCAAAGGAAGCTGATCTAGAGACAATGACAAGGTTATTTTTGTCTACAAACCTAGAGGCCTTGCTGCCGGTTGCATAACCTATAAATCTGAGCCTCCTTGATGCCTTGCCCCCCTTTCTTCTGAGGTGCTTGGGAATATGGACCCAGGCATAGGAACCAAAAATTCTCAGGTGTGAGAGGCTAGGTTTCCTTCCATGGACCAGGAAGTATGGGGTTTGGTTAATGGCACTACTCCACGTCCTGTTGACTAGATAATTAGCCATTTTGACCGCTTCTGCCCAAAAAACTTGGCTCATGTCAGCATCTGCAAGTAGGCAGTTCATGACATTCTGCAGCACTCCATTTCTCCTTTCTGAAATACCATTCTCGGACGGAGTTCGAGGGGATGATTTAAAATGGAGGATACCTCTCTCCTTCATCCACTTTTCGAAAATCTTGGATGTAAACTCAGTCCCCCTATCACTCTGCACCTGAGCGATGCACACCTTGTGTTGCGTTTGGATCTGGTTGTAAAGATATTTGAAGTTGGTAAAGACTTCAGTTTTGTCCTTTAAAATAAATACATGGCCATAACGAGAGTAATCATCTACTACCGTTAAAAAATAACACCCCCTACCAAGGGAGGGTCTAAAAGGACCAACCAAATCCATGTGTACCAGCTGATAAGGGTACCTTGCACGACGGGAAGAGACCTTAGGTATAGCAGCAGTTTTAGATTTTGCTGCCTTACAGATGGCACATTCCAAATAGGTATTACAATTCTTTATCTTAAGCCCATCAGAAAAATCTTGCATTTTCTTAATAACCGGGAAGCTGGCATGGCCGAGCCTGCGGTGTAATATATGAGCACAATCCAAATGTAAAGGTTTACCCATGCATACTTTGTCAACCTTATGTATCTTACCATTACAAGCCTTGGTCTGTTCTGTAATGAGAGTAGGCACTGGATTAATGGTCACCTTAGATTTCCTCAGGGTTGGCTGAGGAGTTGTGACCTTAATGGGCTCAGCCTTAATGGCTTTGGATGTCCTAGGAGCTGGTTTAAAAGCTTCATTGGTTTTAGGTCCAGGGTCCTTGAGTTTGGACAACCTGGGGGCTGGCATAGAAGCTTTCTGCTCTATCTGGACGTTAGCTCCCTGAGCCCTCTTGTTAGGTTTCTTGTGCCTTTTGACCTGTGCTTTTGGGGAAAAATAAGGCAAATTGTTGATTTTTACAATATCGCCAACAACACCCCCATTTTCGAAAACATAACCTCCACCCTTCTCAAAAACCAGTTTTACATTTTTATCCTCAGTCAATTTTAAGATGCTTAAAAGGTTGTTCTTGATTGAGGGAACATACAGTGCCCCAGTGACATCTCCTATACCAGGCACATTGATCACGCCTTCCCCAGTTACCTCTGCCTTGTCCCCAGTGGCAACTTTTACTGAGGACTTGAGTGGGTGTAAAACCTTAAATTGTTGGTTTGTGTTGGCTATATGCGTTGATGCACCTGAATCAAGAAGCCACAGCCCCTCAGCATCCTTTATCTGGGAGGTGTGGTTGTCACTAGTGACACTACAGTATTGGTATCCTTTATGACCACCTCCCCCTCTTCCACGGCCTCTTTTATTTTTATTGTGCTTAAGTCCAGCCGTGTTGGCCCTAGAGCGAGGGCACTCCCTTTTAAAGTGACCTTGTATGCCACAGTCAAAGCAGGTGGGAAGGGTATTAATCCTTTCACTTGTGTCCTGGCGCTTCCTCTGAGGCCTAGGCCTGTGATATGCCTCCTTCATTTCTTGTTGTTCCTCATCTCTGCGCCTTAAATCTTCCTCATTAAAGCGGCCAGAAAAGTATTCTATATTTCTTTGTTCCCTAGAAACCCCTTCTAGAGAAATAATAAAGGGACTCCAGGATTTGTCTAGGGAGTTCAACATCACACTAATTAAAGTGGATTCAGAAACAGGCTCCCCCCTCTGTATAAGCTCATCCCTCATGGCTTTAAGCGTTGCCAAATGTTCCCCCATTTTGACACCAGGTTTGAGTTTATAGTTGTGGAAAATTCTTGACAATCTGCTGGTTGCAGCCATATTGTCACTATGGAACAAATTATATAGGCCAGTCCAAACTTCCTGAACTGTGAGGCCGTCTGAAAGACTGGCATAAAGAGCTGTGTCTATAGAACTTAACAGGGTTGTGTAAGCTCTTTTATGCAGGAACTCAATTTCAGGGCTCCAAGGTAAAGGGGGTGGTTTTTTGATCATGTCCAGAGTATTTTCTCTTAAGAGAATTATCTGAATCTCTTTACACCATTTTTTAAAATTCTGACCACTTAAATGTAATTTTTCAAAATTATTTGGCAAAGTTACAAAATTATTGCCATTAAACTGCATGGGGAGTTGTTCAAATGGCTGAAAAGAGCCTGTTGTGAATGGCATTGGGATCCCTAAGCCTGGGATCGATTGCTTAGGTCTGGCTCCTTTTTGTAGTCCTTCTGTAGTTTGAAGCAACTGGGCACGTGCAGGAAATGGAGCATGCTCCAAAGCCTTTTCTTGTTGGAGCTCCGATCTCCCTCTCTGAGCTCTGAAGTCAGGTCTGGCTGGAGCCTCAGTACAGGCCGGGACATCAGCGATGTGGCGGGGAAGCCTTGGAGGAGTGGGAAGAAGGCCTGGAGATCTTTCTGGAGACTGGAGGCCCATCAGATGAGGTCCATGGGCTGGGTAGGCCTGGAAATCTCTCTGGATCTCCTCTTCTCCATCAGAGGAGCAGGATTGCAGCTCCGGATCATCCCAGCAGGGCCGGAAAGGTGCGGAGGCCTCAGCCTGGGCCTCCCTGGAGCATTCAGTGAGTGGTGAGCGCCTCTGCAGTGGGGGGTGGGAGGCTGCAGCTCCATCTGGGTTCCTCCGGGGGTGGGAGGTTGGATTTGGGGCCCTCCTTAAGTGGGCAGCTGGGTCTGGGGCCTCGGGGCGGCCGGTGGGTGGTTGCTCCATAAGTTCCAGGGCAGCGACCAGGGCCTCTATGGCCTCTTTGATGTTTGCCTTGGCAGGCGGGGCCTGGCAAGGGGCTTGTGGGTTCGGAGTGGTCCTCTGGGCCTCTGGAAGGCTGAACTGACTGGCTGGCGTTATAGGCCTGGGCTGCGGGGCTGGGGATGGCCTGGCTCGTGGTTCTGGCAAAGTGCCCAGGGGAGCCGCCATCTTGGAGGAAGTTGCCTCCGGAAGTGGCCTGGCGGCCATTTTGTTTGGCGGGAAACTGGGTGGGGGGGCAGTCTCTCTGGCGGCAGGCGCCATCTTGGAGAGATCAGGCAGGGGAGTCCTTACCGGGATGGCAGGCATCTCTGGTGCTGCCTCCTCAGGCCTCTTTCTGGCTGCTGCCCTTGTCTTCAGGAGGGAGGCCAGCGCTGCTCGGCACTCCTCTTCTGACATCTCAGCCACTTGCCTGTCCAGGCTTTCATCTGGTCCTTCTGCCCCCTCTTTGTCAGTGCTGAAGAAGCCTTCTCCAGCATCGCTTGGCTCAGCCCCTGGGATCTCTTGCTGCATCTGGGTGGCCTCTGGCTGCCAGGGTGTAGCTGGATGGAAACCCCCTTCAATGTTTTCCATCGTTGATTCAGACTGGGGCTGCTGTGAAGTTCTCCTCCGTTGAAGGCCTCTGGTCACAACAGGGGAGCTTCTCTCACAGGTTATTTTGGAGGGCATCTCGCCTTTTCAACAGCTCCTGGAGTGGAGTTCTGCTACCATTCGCTCTGCTACCATTCTGTGGAATTGGGATCATAGAAACACCCAGGAGCATAGAAGAGTCCAAAGGCAGATGCATGAATAAATGTGATAAATGTATCACATTCATAAGAAATTTCACTGTTCATATGGGAAGCCTGCCTTGTCTGTGAAAGGCTGGACAAGGTGTACAGAGAAAGAGAACTTGGAGACTCTACCTCAGCAGGAGATTGAAAAGATCTTTTCTCTAGATAGCTCCTTAACTTACAATGCCATCCAGATTGTGGCACATGCCTTAAATGTGGTCAATTCACCCCGATCCCAGTGGACAAGGATGGAGAGAAAAGACAAGGTGGAAGTTGAAAACATTCAACCATGGCAGGTATCTCCTTATCAGTTCCATGTAGGTTGCTAAGGGCAACATCTAATGGTGATGTGGAATTGGGATCGTAGAAACACCCAGGAGCATAGAAGAGTCCAAAGGCAGATGCATGAATAAATGTGATAAATGTATTTATTCATATAACAAAACATATTAACTATATACAAAGGCTGTCTTAATATCCATTAGGATGGGGGGCACACAGCGTGTGTGACCACCCCTATCAAAGATCATGTCTCATGGAGAACAAACGTAAAAGAGAGCATGGTGGAGAGGTTAGAGGGGGTTTTATACTCAGTGTAAGCCCCTCCTCTCCACATAGGGGTGGGGGCACTTTCTGCCTCCACTAGTGTCTGTATGATATATGTGCCAATGGCTTGCAAATACTTGACAGGTGAACATCATAAAACACGCTTTGAGAAATGTCATATACATTGAGAAAAAAATACCTTTTATGAATCATTTTCTTTCATAAGATCCCTTTTCCTCCTCTTTCATATGTGTGTGTGTGTGTGTGTGTTAGTTTGTTTGTGTGTGTGTGTGTGTGTATATTCGTAGATTTTCACGGATACAGGTATGGACGTCTTGGCGTATTCAGGTCTTTTCCCGTGTATGTATGTATATATATCTCAAGTTTTCGCGGGTGTGTGTATGTAAAAAGTTAAAATCTCAGGTGTTTTCCCGAAACATTTCCCGAAACGTTGCCAAAAAACCTTTAAAGTGTTGGTTAGGATTTTAGCCAAAGTTTTTAAAAAACCTTACAAAGTGTTTTGTGGGGATTTTAGAGGATTTTAAGGTGAGATTTTAGCCAGGATTTTAAGTATTTTAACAGACTTTTAATGACGCGGGAAAACACCCGAGATTTTAACTTTATATATATGTATCATGGCGACCTTTCAACGAGGTCTCACTTGTCATATTCAGGCTGGTGCTTTCAGCTTCGTGCTTGTGTGAGCAAAGCATGATCTGAGCTGCCGTCGCCCTATAAATACTGGTGGGGAGGTGGGGAGTTCTGGCATTGTTGCTATAAGTGGGTTGGTTGGCTGTGTTGTTACATCTTGATTAGTTGATGGAGTTGATGTTTGCAGATTAGTAAAATGTTTCGTAGCATCCTGTGTGGGTGAGGCCCTGACTGTGTGCCTATTAGTCTTTTGTGTTTTAACGACCTGGGTAATGGGTTGTGTAGTAGCATCCTGAGCTCTATCGTTGTGATTTCCTGAGTACTCTGCTGCAACATCCTGGGTAGTTGGCTGTGTTGTAGCATCCTGAGCTTTAGTGTTGTGGCATTCTGAGTTCTGTGATATGATATCGTGAGCGGATGGTTGTGATGCAGCATCCCGGGCTTTGGTTTGGCTTCGAGTTTGAGGTCTTGTCATGTGTTCATGGTGTGTGTCAGTTTGCTTTGTGTGGGGATCAGAGGGGGGTGCAGCAGCTAGTGGTGCCGCTGTGGTCTGGCTTCTGGATGGTGGTTGTATTTCGTCTATTGGATGGGATTGGGTTTGAATCTGGTGAGGATGATTGGTGGTGGCGTCATGTGTTGTCCTGGGTCCGGTGTCAATTTTCGTGGCTGGGACTTGTTTGTTGACTAGGGCTGGTTTCCAGATGTCTGGTAGGCGGGAGGTATCATCACGTTTATTCATATTATGGTGGTGTTTCTCTATTTCGATGGCTTCCATAATTATTCTCTTGTTGAAGTATTCAGTTTTGGAGATTAATTTGGTTCCTTCAAAATCAATTTCATGTCCTGTTGTTTTAAAGTGCTGGAAAAGGGAGGAAGTTTTTTCTTCTTTTCTGACTGCGTTCTTGTGTTCTGCGATGCGTGCATTTATTCTCCTATTGGTTTGTCCAATGTATGTGGCTGGGCAGATTTTGCATGGTATTTCATAGACTCGTTGGTTTTCTAGCTGGATCTTGTCTTTGGGGTTTCTTAAGATGTTGGCTATTATTTGGTCAGGGCAGAAGGCTGTCCTGATGTTGTGTTTGTGGAGAATTTTGCTGATTTTATCTGTGGTGCCTTTGATATAAGGGAAGAGGGCGATGTCCTTGTCCTGTTCTGTGTCTCAGTTCTTGGGGGTGTCTCCCTTTGGATTTGGTTGGTAATTGTGTTTCTTTTTAATCCGTTAGAGATTAATATGTTAGTGAGAGTGTGTAGTTCAGTTTTCAGGTGGTCTTTGTTGGCTAGGCGTTTGGTTCTGGAGATGAGAGTCTTGGCTACGGGGTTGATCTGTGCAGGGTGGTGATGTGATTGTGCGTTTAAGTAGCGGTTGGTGTGTGTTTTTTTCCAGTAGATGGTATGTCCTAGGGAGCCGACATCCAGAAAGGGGAGTTGGTTGTTAGCTTCTATTTCCATAGTAAATTGTATTTTGGGGTGTAGGCTGTTGAAATGTGTGAGGAAGTTGTCTAGTTTTTCCTTTCCGTGTGGACAAATTATGAAAGTGCCATCTACATATCTAAGCCATTGTTTGGGTTTGGGTTCAGATTTATCTAAAGTGTTGGTTTCAAAGTGTTCCATGTATAGGTTTGCGATGACAGGTGAGAGGGGTGATCCCATAGGTGCTCCTTCTACCTTTTTGTATCTTTGTCCATTGTGGATGAAGTATGTGTTGGTTAGGCAGTGGTTGGTCAGGTCTAGGATATGCTTAGGGGAGTTGTATGTGTTTTGGATAGCTGTCAAGGCTTCTTTAATAGGCACTTGGGTGAAGAGGGATATGACATCGAAGCTCACGAGTAGGTCACTGGGTCGTAGGTTTTGTTTCTTTATTGTTTCTATGAAGTGGAATGAGTTTTGTACGTGTGAGGTGATGGATTCTGCGTAGGGCTGAAGTTGTTTGGCAAGAAATTTGGCAAGATTCTGTAGAGGTGAGCCTATGGAGCTGACTATGGGTCTGAGTGGTGTTCCTTCTTTGTGTATCTTGGGGAGGCCATAGAGCTTGGGGCATCTGGATGATTTCTCTCTGGAGATGATTCTTTGCTAGATCTCTTCACTGATGGGAGAGGCTTTTATTTTGGATTTGGTGGTTTTTTCCAGGTAGGTGGTGGGGTCTGTGTTAGAGGTTTGTAAGTGGGGTCTTGGAGTAGGTTGGATAGTTTGGCTTGGTAGTCAGATGTGTTCATGGCCACTGTGGCATTACCTTTGTCTGCTGGGAGAATGATTATGTGATTGTCTTTCCTCTAGTTGGTGAGTGCTTTTTGTTCTTCTTTGTGTAAGTTGCTTCTGGGTGGATTGCTGGAGCAGAGGACATTGGTGACTTCAAGTCTGATTTTATTGGCTTCATCTGGGTTGATTTTGGTTAGGCTAGCTTCAACTCCGCATATGATGTTTTCAGTAGGGATGCGTTTGGGGGCGACTGCAAAGTTCAATCCTTTGGAAAGGACATTGGTTTCTGCTATGGTGAAGATCCTGTCTGATATGTTATGTACTGTTTGTTTCATGAGTTGCTGTGGAGGGGGGTTGGGCTTCTGGCATTTTTCTAGTCTGTGGAGTTTGTTGGTATGTAAAATGGTAGCTCTTTGGACTTTGAGTTTCTCGTAGGTCCTGGTCAGCAGGAAGGTTTTCTCCCCGTAGAGGTAAGATATTTGTTTTCGTAGATTTTCACGGGTACAGGTATACAAGTCTTGGCGTATTCGGGTCTTTTCCTGTGTAAGATTGAGAGTATCTTGGAGACGTTTCGATGAGGTCTCACTCGTCATCTTCAGGCTGGTGCTTTTGGCTTCATGCTTGTGTGAGCAAAGCATGATCGGAGCTGCCGTCTCTCTATAAATACTGGTGGGGAGGTGGGGAGTTCTGGCTTTGTTGCTGTAAGTGGGTTGGTTGGCTGTGTTGATCTCCAAATTAATCTCCAAAACTGAACACTTCAACAAGAGAATAATCATGGAAGCCATAGAAATAGAGAAACACCCCCATAACATGAATAACAATAGCTGCAAGATCGGCATGGGCCCAATACTGGAAGATGGATGTCAGCCCACCCGAACAAGTAGTAATTCAGAAAATAATGAACTGTGCAGAATCAGATCGGTTTACTATGATACTGAAAGGGCGAGGGGACACAGATTACTATATATCTTGGAGTCAATGGTATAATTGGATGTCAAATCGAGCTGCAAATTGATGTATTTGATAAACATGTCACTTGGTATATCTAATAGGCTTTACTTGGCTAACCTATATATGTAATGGGACAATTTTATTCCTTTCTCGTGTTGTGATGTAGACGGCTATAGATTTAATGCTTGTTTCATGTATAATATATATATAAAAAAACCAAACCCATCCCATAGATGAAACACAACCACCATCCAGAAGCCAGACCACGGCAGCATCACCAGCTGCTGCACCCCCCCTCCGATCCCCACACAAAGCAAACTGACACACGCCATGAACACATGACAAGACCTCAAACTTGAAGCCAAACCTAAGCCCGGGATGCTGCATCACAACCATCTGCTCAGGATATCACATCACAGAACTCAGAATGCCACAACACTAAAGCTCAGGATGCTACAACACAGCCAACTACCCAGGATGTTGCAGCACAACATCCCAGGATGTTGCAGGACATCATAAGAATAGAGCTCAGGATGCTACTACACAAGCCATTACCCAGGACATTAAAACACAAAAGACTAATAGGCACACAGCCAGGGCCCCACCCACACAGGATGCGACGAAACAGCTGAGTGCAAACATCAACTCCATTAACTAATCAAGATGTAACAACACAGCCAACCAACCCACTTACAGCAACAAAGCCAGAACTCCCCACCTCCCCACCAGTATTAATAGAGAGACGGCAGCTCCGAGCACGCTTTGCTCACACAAGCACGAAGCCAAAAGCACCAGCCTGAAAATGACAAGTGAGACCTCATCGAAATGTCGCCAAGATACTCTCAATCTTACATAGGAAAAGACCCATACACACCAAAACTTGCATAAACGACAAACCATTTTATGCCAAATTTATATTTTGCTGATAAAGAAATGAAGGGAGACTAGTATAGATCTATTTCAAGCTTTTTAGCTTTCATCAGCTAGTCATCAGCTAGTGGCTGCTTGAGGGCTCATGGATTGGAGCTGAAAGGCGAAAGGATATACTGGTTGTATCAGCACTTTTTAAAATATATATAATGTTATACTGTACATCCTAATTATGACCATTTTTCTCTTAATCATACAATATAGTCCGTAGAAAAAAAAGAAACTTGATATTATATAACATACTTATATCTCTTGTTTGCATAGTTATAACATAATTCTCTATACATTTAGCACTCTTATATATTTTAATTTGCAGTTATGTACAGTCTAATAATAATATTGCTTGCAATATATATTCTTCTATATAGTTTTATACCTGTATTCGTTTCTAGCTTATTGACCCTCTTTCATCATTAATTTTCTAAACTTTGCATCTATTATCTAGCCAATAGGCCCCATATTTTAGTAATAGGCTGTTTCTCCTTTGTCTTTAATTTCCATCGTTAACCTGTCCATTTTGGCACATTCTAATATTTTCTTTATTACCATTTCCTCTGTCGGTATACTTTCGTTTTTCCAATTTTGTGCATATGTAATTCCGTTGCTGCTGTTATTACATGTAACATTAAATATTGAATTATTCTTTCTTTTACATTTGGCCTCCAGCATTGTGAATGGCAAATTATATCTTGCCTATGTTGTCACACACCACTACAATTATTTTACTTCATGTATTTTATTTCATGTGCTTTGAGCTTTTCTTTCTTCAGATTCTAGAATTTGATGCTTGTCGAAAAGGATTTTGGATTATCTCCCAATTTATTATAATGTAACACAACATTGTATTTAATATTAAAATTATCAGTGTATATTCTTGTAAAATCACCTGAAGAGTGATCAATATTCAAGCTTTCCCTCAGAATCAGTGTTCAAGCTTTCTTCAGATAACGAGCAGATGGAAGAGTCAATTATAAATATTGACATTTGCTTCCCAATTTCGGAAAGCCAATTCATAACACAGGAAGTTTATAAGAAGAGATTAGATAACTATTTGTCTGAAGTAGTGTAGGGTTTCCTGCCTAAGCAGGGGTTAGATTAGAATGTTGTGGCCCCGCCCTCTGAGCCTATCTCATCGGAGGAAGAAGGCTCCGAACATGAGGGAGAGGAGTCAGCCAGGCCTCCCTCTCCAGGCCCCTCCCCTCTGGCACTGCCTCAGGTGCCGGCCGAGGAAGGGGAGATTAGCCAGGAGCCAGGTGTCTCTGATGAGAGCGAGGAAGGAGAGCCGTCGTTCCTGGATGCACACCAACAAAGGCATGATAAACGGTTGCAGCAGTTAAGGAGGCGTGCTAGGGATTATAACTGAGTCACTGGACCACACCCCAGAGACTATATAAGAGAGGGTGGTGGCTGGTAAAACTCTGTGACGAACAAAAACTAACTCTGGCTAGTCACTTGAACAACGCCTGAAGCTGCCGAAGGGATATTGTTTTGCTGGACTATTTACAATGCGTATGTAATTTTATGTTATCTGTTGCAGTAAAGCTCTTGGCAGACGGTGCTTATATTGTTGCCAAGTTTGAGATAACGACCTGTGTGCGTGCCAAGTGCTTTCTTAACCCTCAGCTGGCTGTGTTTGTGTGTGTGTGGAGACAGAGACAGAACATAGAAGACCTCCAAGATCCCTTCCAACTTTGTTAAATTATTATTATAATAATTAACTTATTATATTTCCAGGACTGAGTTGTACAAACTGATGCTGTGTCTTCTACAACAAGGAGACATTTTCTGACAGTGTGAACAATCAGCCAATGGAACAGCTTGCCTTCAGAAGTTGTGGGAACTTCATCTATAGCTATGTAGGACATCTCAGGGAGGAGGGGGACACTCATGGATAAGCAACAGATAATGTAAGCAAATATATTTGTAGGTAATGGATTTCCCTTCTCCTGCCCTCTGCCATCTGCTTATCTTCAAGAGAACTAACGGGAGAAATAAAACAAGAAAACAAGAAAATGTGGGCTAGTTGGGAATGCCAGATGTTGGAAAGAAAACATCTGCCATTGGTACCTGAAGGACAAATCTATGCAGATTGTCCTGAGAAGAAAACAGGCTGCAGCTCAATAAGCCAAATTCTTATATCTCTGTACATCAGCTTGTTTAGATGATTCCATTTGTGTAAAAACCTCTTTCCTTATATTCTGTAGCTTCACCATTTCCTGAAGAATCCTCAGATCTACAACAACACCATAGAAGGAATGTATTTGGATAGAAATGGAGATTTGATGGCTGACTTTGACATTGTGAGATGGGTGTTGTTTCCTAATAAGTCGACCACCAGAGTGAAATTTGGGAGTCTAGACAGAGAAGGAACCATTGGAGTCAAATTCAGCATCAACAAGGAAGCCATCACGAGCCCTCAGTGGCTCAATCAGGTAGAGGAAGAGGTGTCCTATCTCTTTACCATGTTTCCCTGAAAATAAGACATTCCCTGATAATAAGTCCAATCAGGTTTTTGAGCGCATGCACTAAAATAAGTCCCCCCCACAAAAAAAATAAGCCCTCCCAAAATATATTTAAGCACATGCGCAGACAGTCCTCGCCATTTCCTCTAGTTAGGGTTAGGGAGACAGAGCTGGAAATCAGCAAGAGGAGCCTCGTCTTGCTCCACACACCCCAAAATAATAAAACCTCACAAAAAATAAGGCCAAACGCTGATTTCAGGGTTCAAAAAATATAAGACAGGGTCTTATTTTGGGGGAAACACAGTAGTTTTGTCCATCATCTCAATCAGTGTACCACACCATCCGAAACTATATATAAGACCGACTGCCTTCAAATTTATGCTTCAGAATTATATTCTTTCATTTATAACCAGCAAAGGAAAAGATGCTTTATGACTTATACAGTAGAAGACTTTGGTCTGGGGACATTGAGGAAAAATATGTGGAGATGGAGGGAAATGGAAGCATGATTTAAGAGGAGGGGAGAAGTAAAATCAATTGAGTTACACATGTTCGCTCAAAACAGTAAAGTGCAGATAGAGCCCCTCCCAAAGTCCAATACATCACCAAACCAATCTCAAAGTGTAAAGATATTATGAGATACTCAGGCTGAGGAGGTGATAAATGCCGGTCTCCAAGGCAACGCTGCTGCTCTTCTCTGCAGACGAGATAAGCTATGGGACCTGACAATCCCATTCCAACACTGTAATTCATTTCATAACTATCAGTTTTGCAGATGCTTCTGAATGCAAATTTTACTCACTTTCAGCCCTTGCCTTACTCCCAGTGTGTGGAGCCTTGTCAACCTGGCTATTTCAGGGTGGTCCAGGAAGGAAAACCAATCTGTTGCTACAACTGCGTCCCTTGTGCAGAAGGGAGCATTTCCACCCAAGAAGGTGGGTGAATGGGAATCAAAACAGTTCTTGGGATAGGAGCAAAGGTTCCTGCAGATCTTTGCTAAGAAGATATTTCTAATTTGGGTATTGGAGTGGGAGGGAGTATTAATTGCCATCTCCTCCATTCCAGGATGGACTCAGGATAGACACATTTCTGCCTAACCATCTTCCTCCAAAGTATCTAAGGAGTAGGCAAGCATGATCTGTGTTTCCTGTGGAGCAGCTATTTGGGGCAATACATTGCTACCGGAGAGGAACCTCTCCTCATTATGGCGATTAGAGAGAAAGGTCAAACCAGACAACTTTATCTGCCCCTTTTTAATCATTAACCATTGGGATTTGGGGGGGAAAATGAAAGCAAAAATAGTTGAACAATATTGTTATTGAATTTCAATTTTATCCTCCAATTAATGGGTAGTGAGACAAATCAAACTCCATTTTGGAAAACCAGAATATTCCAACCTTGTCAAATTGGCTAGTCCTAATCCATTAGAAACCTTCCTACATGATGTAGATCAGGGGTGTCAAACTCAAGGCCCATGGTAAATATTACATTTGTCCTCTATAGATGCAGACCACTGCACCAGGTGTCCAGACAATCAGTATCAGAACAAGCCTCGAGATCAATGTATCCTCAAAACTGTCACTTTTTTGTCCCATCAAGAGTATTTGGGAATTATTCTTACTTTCTTTGCCCTATTCCTGATCTTAACCACAGTTTTAGTCTTGGGAATCTTCATTAAATTCCAAGAAACTCCAATTGTCAAAGCCAACAACCGGGACCTCTCCTATATCCTCCTGGTCTCCCTTTTTCTTTGCTTTTTGACTTCCTTTCTCTTCATTGGACGGCCAAGGAGAACCACCTGCCTTCTCCGACAAACAATTTTCAGCATCATCTTCTCAATTGCCGTGTCTACCGTCTTGGCCAAAACAGTCATGGTGGTGCTGGCCTTCCTGGCCACAAAGCCAGGAAACAGAGTGAGAGGGTGGCTGGGCAGGAGTCTGACCAACACCATCATAATTTCTTGTTCCAGTGTCCAGGTTGTCATTTGTTTCACCTGGTTAGGAGTCTTTCCTTCATTCCCTGATTCTGACATGTATTCCCAGCCTAGAGAGATTGTTCTGCAGTGCAATGAAGGCTCGGTCACTATGTTTTATGTTGCCCTTGGTTACATGGGTTTTCAGGCTGCCATTTGCTTCATAGTGGCCTTCCTGGCCAGGAATCTACCTGGGTCCTTCAACGAAGCCAAGCTGATCACCTTCAGCATGCTGGTCTTTTGCAGTGTCTGGATCTCCTTTGTGCCTACCTATCTCAGCACCAAAGGGAAATTCACGGTTGCTGTGCAGGTCTTCTCCATCTTGGCTTCCAGTGCTGGGCTGCTGGGTTGCATCTTCATCCCTAAGTGTTACATCATTTTGCTGAGGCCAGATCTGAATACAAAGGAACATCTGATGTTCAAAAGTGAAGTAAAAAAGTGATGCTGATGGATGTTCTGGGGATATAATTCCCACCCAATATAATTCTCACCCATTGGGTACTTTTCAGGAGAAAACACTATCAGGCTGCTTTTTGAAGTGATCTCCTGCTTAAGCCTAATTTCCATGTTTTTATGTTTCTGTGTCTGGTAGTATTATTTAGCATTTTGGGCTTCATTATTAGCCTTTAAGTGAGGACGTTAATAGAATTTTAGTCTGGCAGTGTTGACCTCCTTTCAGATTTTAGGAAAGCATGCTTTTTTCATGGGGAGAAAGCAGCCTTTTCAACAACTGAATCTTAGTCAGTGTATTCTGAAAGTAATTGAATACACTTGCAAGTTTTAAGTAAGATACTAATCCATCTTGGAAAGAGCATGATGTAACCCATAAATTTACCTCATGTGGAAAGTAATCTCTAGTCAATATTTTCTATTGTTCACTTGTCAAATGTAATAAATGTCTTTCATTCTTTCGTTGGTTTATTTCTGATGTATCACATGTACCAAATGTTTGTAACATTTGTTTCTGTACCCTATTAAAGGACTTGGACTTCCCCCATTCCATAAATGCTTTTCACTGTGCATAACCCTATCGCTTCTGTGGGTGTGGCTTGGTGGGCGTGGCTTGGTGGGCATGGCAGGGGAAGGATACTGTTAAATCTCCATTCCCTCCCCACTCCAGGGGAAGGTTACTGCAAAATCCCCATTTCCTCCTGATCAGCTGGGATTCAGGAGGCAGAGAATAGATGGGGGCGGGGCCAGTCAGAGGTGGTATTTACTGGTTCTCCAAACTACTCAAAATTTCCCCTACTGGTTCTCCAGAACTGGTCAGAACCTGCTGAAACCCACCTCTGGGCTGAACAGCTTACTTTTACAAAAGGAAAAATTGTTTTTAATCTCTCAGATTCAGAGAAATAAGGCCAAACAATTGGGGAAAATAAAGCTGCAACATAAATGATCATCACCTTTTTTTTTTTTATCCAAGGGACATTCATTCACTAATAAAATATTTATAATTATTACGATCTACCAAACAGGTAGAAGAAAGTATTTTTTTTCCTATAATCTATTCTGTCTAACGATCAAAACTGTAGATCAGAAGTTCATTTCTTTTTACTTCTGGGCTCATTGGTGCTCCCTATGTGGGCTTCTTTTCTTGCAGATGGTTCATGTCCCAAACTAGGTAAAATAGATTAGAATTCTTTATTGGCCAAGTGTGATTGGACACTCAAGGAATTTGTCTTTGGTGCATATGCATTCAGTGTACATAAGGAGAATAAAATACATTCATCAAGAATAAAAAGATACAACACTTAGTGATAGTCAAGGTTATTATTAAGCTATCAAATTGTACTAGGAAACAAATAAAAACAATATAAATTGAAAGATACAAGCAACGTGGTTATAGTAATAAGTGGGAAGAGATAAATACTAGTAAGGAAGAGAATAATAATAGTAATATATTATTTGATAGTGTTTTGGGAATTAGTTGTTAAGCAGAGTGATGGCATTCGGGGGGAGGGAAACATTATCAGGGCTGATAACTATCATGAGTGACTAACAATGATGATGTTATTACTTTGGGTTATGAAAAATCTGCAAGAAAGCAAAAAAGCTCAGAGGGAACCAAGGATCCCTCATTTCAATCCTGAACAACAAATATTCTCTATTGACATTTTTTTTATGAAGAAATGTATAAGAGGCTTCTAGTTATCAATTAATGTACATCATTTCCTTTCTCTAATCAAAGAAGTTAATTTATCCGTTTTAGCTATTCTACCAAATTCACCAGCCATTCCTCCATAGTGGGTTGAGTGGGAGGCAGGAGCCTTATCAGCGGAGAGTTGAGACTAATAGACCCTAATAGATTTTGGAAAAATTCCAAATCTCTGGATTCAGGGCTGGTATGCAAGGCCCAATAAAACACACTGAGGATGGAGATAATAATAAAATATTTACTTCTGACCAAAAAAAGATGCTCAGGAATATTTTACGCCTCAAGCACAACAGCTCTCAAACCAACAAGTTTTACATACATTTTTGCAACAAGATACAAAGTAAAAACAAAGCTTTAAATTGTACAGCCTTCAGCCATAAAGTGATAAAGTAGGCATAATTCAGGATTCCCAGAATCCAAGATTCCCAGTCAATGATATGCTTGCCCTGCCTTTAACTCTATATCTACACTAATTTCATGTAGTTACAAAACAAAAAGGCAACTGAACATCCCATCTACATCAGCTTCAGTCAGTCAGTCAGTCAGTTAGTTAGAATGCAGTTGTCAATTGTCCCATTGGGTTAGACAGCAAAAGAAACTCCTGGGACATTTTTTTACCAAGGGTATACCATATTTTTTGCAGTATAAGACACTCCAGAGTATAAGAGGCACCTTAGTTTTTGGAAAGGAAAATAGGAAAAAAAAATTCTGCCTCTGCCTACCAGGTATTCATCTGACTAGAGTCCTTAGCCTGGTCAGCTTTAGCACACATTAGATGGCTGGTTGTGAGCACGCACTGGGGCTGATAAACAGCTTAAAAAGCACAGCTGATTGTCAGAGGGAGCTCCACTTAGTAAAGCAGGTGAAGCGTGGAAGCAGTAAGACAAGGCAGTAGCTTTGGCAAAATGGATTGCCATTTTGGGCTCCGCGCCTCGCGTTTTCAGCCTCCAAACGCTCCATTTGAGAACGGTTCATGGCTGCGGGGATCGTAAAAAGCACATCACCACCCATCGACACCCAAAAACATGAGGTGCAGAAACCAAAAATGGGGCATGCTGAAATCTAAAACGTGATGCACAGAGGCCAAAAACACAATGTGCACAGGCAGCAATCAGTGGCAATGTGTTTTGGCAATCCCCGCAGCCTTGAATGGCTCTCAAAGGGAGCGTTTGGAGGGTGAAAATGAGAGCCTTTGTCTGCGGCAATCTCTGCAGCCAGGAAGAGGACGTGCTGAGGCTGAAGGGTGGGGGCCGGCTGGTGGGTGGGGCTACATTTGGAGTATAAGACACACCCAAGTTATCAGCCTCTTTTGGGGGGGAGTGCATCTTATACTCCAAAAAATAAGGTAACTTTACTGAAGATTCCATGTAGGTACAGGAGAAAAGCCAGTTCTAATGATTTCCTGTCAAAATAGCATAGGAAAACTTTCCCTCCCCCCCCTGGATCTCCCATTGTCCATTGTCCACCATGCATTTGCACTTTCTTTGTTTTGGGAACAGTCTATCTGCCTCGGACTTCCCCAGCTGGTGACCTTGAGATATTGGATCTGTCTCAGACTTCCAGTTGACACACTTGCATTCCAAATTTCCTTCCCAAGCCTCCCTTAGATTCCAAGGCCTTCCCTTCCCCCTCCTGTTATAGTTGTCTGGTTGCAAGCAAGGACAGATCCTGAAGATGAAACTCAAATACTTTGGCCACCTAATGAGAAGGAAGGACTCACTGGAGAAGAGCCTAATGCTGGGAACGATTGAGGGCAAAAGGAGAAATGGATGACAGAGAACGAGGTGGCTAGAGGGAGTCACTGAAGCAGTAGGAGTGAGCTTAAATGGACTCCAGAGGATGGTAGAGGACAGGAAGACCTGGAGGAACACTGTCCATGGGGTCACGATGGGTCAGACACGACTTCACAACTAACAACAAAAAACCAAGACTGTGTAGTGAGTCAACCATGACAGCAGTATTGCAGGCTAACTCACTGCTCATTCAGCAGGAGTTCGATCCTGACTGGCTGAAGGATGACTCAGCCTTGCATCCTTCTCAGGTCGGTAAAAGGATTATTGGGAGCAAGATGGTGACTCTGTAAACCATGTTTCAGAAAAAAACTTTTTTTCCTGCCTCTGAAAGCCTCCAAAACAGTTTCAGCAAAAAAAAGCCTCTGAAGCTCTGTTTGGGGGCTTCTTTTGTTCAGCCTCTGAAACCTCCGTTTGAGAAGCTTGGTGGGTCTACATTCCAAGTATAAGACGAACCCAGATTTTCACCCTCTTTTTTGGTGAAAAAAGGTGTGCCTTATACTCCAAAAAATATGGTACATAAATAAATAAAACAGAGAAGATCCTGACTGTTAGCTTTCAGTAAGTGAGTTTTTGGGAACTAAATGATTCCCAAGATTAAGCCTCTTACCAAAAATAGAAACAAGGCAAAGGGAAACTACAATGATCCCCAAATTTTCTTGATAGCAGAGATTCAAGCTTAGCTATTCTGTCATCTCAGTTGATGTTTGAAGGGTGATCCACAGGAAATTTGGTGTATTTTTCAGTATTTGAAAAGAGCAAAATAGCGTTTACCATAAAGCAGATGTCAGGATTCCAACCGATGCCCTAATTAAATCATGAGCCTCCAGCCAAGCTTCAAAAGAAATCCAATTATTTATTAGGAGCTTCATGTCAGCACGTTCCAAGTGAAGCCAACTCTGACCCCATGTAATTTACATTCCATATCTGACCCTGTTTTCCCCCTCCCCCCAAGGTGTGTCATCAGTCACATTCTCCATCGAAGCAATTTTGTGGGTTGTAGTGATCACTCCTTTCTGGCCACTGTAGATAAACATGGAGACAGCCTTAACAGAGATATGACTGGAATGTGCTTTTGTTTTGACTGACATGCTTCCTCACCGCAGAGCAAGCCAGAGATGCTCTTTGAGTTGACAGCAGATTCTTCTTCCATCAGATTCACTGTTGGAGTGAAACTTTTGATGGAGCCGATGAAAGTGGACAAAAATACCTACAGGAAAGAAGGGAAGGAGAGGAAAGAGGAGTGGAGTGGAGTGGAGTGGAGTGGAGTGGAGTGGAGTGGAGGGAAGGGAAGGGAAGGGAAGGGAAGGGAAGGAAAGGAAAGGAAAGGAAAGGAAAGGAAAGGAAAGGAAAGGAAAGGAAAGGAAAGGAAAGGAAAGGAAAGGAAAGGAAAGGAAAGGAAAGGAAAGGAAAGGAAAGGATGAGGTTTTCTTGGAATCTCCTTTCGTGGATGGAACCATTTCTAGGGACAATCAAAATTCATGATTTGCAGGAGATATTTGTGGAAGCAAAGTATTTAAGATTCCGGGTGAAATGCTACTCATTAGATTTTCATTTCATGCAGAAGGGTACAGATAGACTTTTCTACCTGGTGGATCAGTATGAAAGAACCAGAGATGTCTCATATTGAGCAACTTTATAAAATAAACCAGTCACATATAATAGCATAAAAGAAAAACAACTGGAAATCAACCCAGCAGAATGATAGGTGTCCCAAATGCCCACAGAACAATTTGGTTGTGGATGCTTTCTGGGAATCCACTACATTGAGTTACATTGGGAGTTTTTCAGTTGGATCCCAGTTCACTCTGCAGGGAGGACTTTGCAAAACTCCTACTTCCCCAGCTAATTATTAGAATGATAGTGATTTCTTTCTTGCCTTCTTGCTAAATGTCAAGGGATTCTTTTTCCCTCTGGAAATTGTCTGAAGGAGGTCAACAGACTCAGCAGCAACACATTCAGCAT